ACAACAAAAACACAGTTTTCATCAAGAGGGAAAATACTGTAATTTCAATATAAAACTTGGTCAGAAGTTTTCTATCATCTACTAGAAATTTTTAATTTTTAAAATATTTTTATTTTGATATAAAAGTAATTTTTTTAATGATTTGAATGATAAGATATAATTTACAAAAAAAAAAATATCAGATCCCTTCCATAAGAAATAATTTCAATATAAAAGTTTGTCAGAGGTTTTCTATCATCTATTAGAAATTTTTAATTTTTAAAATATTTTCATTTTGATATAAAAGTAATTTTTTAATGATTTGAATGATAAGATATAATTTACAAAAAAAAAAATATCTGATCCCTTCCATAAGAGAAATAAATTATTTGATTTTTTGATAAAACTTAAATATTTTTTTTCCAAATGATTGCAAAGTATTAATTTTACAACATAAAATTAAATAAAGTTATCTTACAGTACTCGGGTCACTTTGAAAATATGAATCAAAAAATATTTAATATATTTAAGTTTAAAACTTTGAATCATATTTATTTAAATTTTAGTGAATGTTAAAAAAAAAGTTTATATTAAAATATAATGAAGTTGAGTACAATAGACTACTTATAAATATATATTTTTATCTAAGATTGATCACACTAAATCCCTAGGTATGAGACATTTATAAATCTCTATTATAAATGTATATATTGTTATTCATGTTTTTTTTTTTCAACTAAATTCAAAACTCTAGATTTTTAGTTTTTCAAATTCATTCATTATAATCAGTTGCCTCTCAATTTTGTAATAATACTTTGTTAAATTTGAAGTAGCTATATTGGAATTTTTAATCATAAGTATAGGTTTTCTTGTTCATCTTCCAACGAAAACAAGATTTAAAAATGATAATTTCTCATTTCTGAAGACTAAATATCAGTCGCTGTTTAATCTTGCCTGATGCCGTTTCAAGCCAAAACAGATCCAGACAAAGCCAAAATCTACCAGCAGATGGTCCAATACAAGTACATTAATTTATCCATCCATTTAGCTTATTTCCATCACAATAGATCCAAAGTTGAGTAGATGGAGCATACAAGAGGGAAAATAAGCACACACGTAGACACACACCCACTCACGCACGCTTACACCACAAGCACTCTTTTTGAGGTAGCCCATCAATTTTCCGTGTCCGTTCAAGCATATCTTGACAGCTGCCCTATCAGATCAAACTACACCACTTTCAGCTGAATATTAACTTGATTAAGAAAAACACAGAGCCAACATCACCAGTTTTATGAGTGGCTGCTATTTTTAGAACTTGGTTGCCAGAAACTTTGAAAACATCAAACAATTGCGAATGAATGGTGTTTTCAACTCTGAAGCTTATTAATAAATAGAAGGATTCAATATGAATGTAATATCAATTTTATGATATGTTTGTAGTACTGTATATTTCTCTTTCAGTGGAGAATTTTGTATACCTGTACGGTACATTTTTTTTCAGAACTTTCATTCTTTTAACATTTATACGGAATAAAACTGAATTTGCTTGTTCGCAATTTGACTTGTGATATTCTAAAACTATTCAATTTCTATTTAACATTACTTTTTATTAGTTTTAATTAAGTTTGATTATAAATATGATTTATGAAGCTATTAAAAGTTTGAGCATTTGTACACTTTTCAAGTAAAAAAGTAAAATTCATTTTATTTGTAGCGATGCATTTTTTGTAAAAAAATATTTTCAGTATCAGAACGAATTTTGTTCCCCATTATTCAAATAACTTTGTATACATTTTGTAAAAGTAAAAAAGCATTAATTTAAAAGTAAAAATAAATATATAAAAAAACTACATTTATAAACATAATAATTAAAAGTACATTTTTTCAAGGTTTTTTTTTTTAGGTTTTAATAATCTGTATATTAATCTAATGCAGTAGGTTATAAACATTGCATTAAAGTATTAAATCTCATTTCTTTTATTCTTTTTCAAAAGCCCAAAACCTTGTATATAAACATCACTCCATTATGCAGAACTAAATTAGGCAAAGAACATTTGACCTTCCTCTGAGTTTTATATATATATATATATGTTTTAAATTCTTGCTAATTTTACTCAAAGTTAAAATCATAAGTGTTCTCCCCAAATTGTGTAATTATTAAAAAAAAATAAAAAAAGAAATAGTAATCAATACTTGTCCAATTCATCAGCTCTCACAATTGCAAGGTTATTCCAATCTCAGCCCACAATCTTATTAATATTGCTGACTGCTTTAATTCTCAGCTAAAAGCTAAAACTTGCATCGCCAATGCTTGCCCCAGGCAGTTGAAGAACTTAGCCATTCTCATGCAAAACAGGCTGTTAATTTACTCAGGGTCGCACACGCGTATATCAATAGGGATTGTTATATGTGTCGTGTGCCTCTCTGACGCTTGCCATTAATATGTAAATTCAAAAGATAATACGTTGGTATTGTGAGAGTTTTTTTTATTCTTCTCTACCCGAGCACTCTCGCTCTCACGACGAGGCAGCCTCAGGGAACCGGAATAAAGACTACTTTTTCATATTGGATTAGATCAAAATCATGACTTGTTTCGTCCAACCACGAAATATGAGATAGAAATAAGAGCTGGCAAAGAAATATGAGTATCCGATAGTCCGCTGCCAACTTTCTTCGTTAGGATATATCTACTTAATTAGAAACTTTTCCTTATTACTTTAATATCATTTTGTATCAATAATTCTTTTAATCGACTATTCACTGGAGAAAAAAATCACTTACACAGGCAGAACGAGATACTGTAAGGTATTGTGTTTAGGCAATAGAGCAGAAATGTTATGAATTATTTTAATTATGAATTTTTAATTCATTTATCCATTCATGTCTTCATTCATTCATTACTACATTCAATTATTCATCCATTTATTTTAATATATGTCAATTGTGAATATATTATCCTTTACTATTTTAAGTTCATTTATTAACTTTTCTGCTTCATAATATTTAAAAATATCTTTTAAATAATTTTGAATATATTAATTTCTTTCCTTGTAAATTTATTTATTTCTTTATTCCTATATTTTTCATCAATCATATTTTTTTTCGTGATATTTTATTTATCTTTTATGCATAATTATTTTATTCTTTTAATGTTTTTATCAAATTTATAATTGATAATCATATTTATTTATTAAATTAATAAATTACTATCAAACAACAACAACAACATATGTCTGGTAGCCTTTAAAACATGTTATCCATTATGTTCATAAGTTCCCATTAACATAAATGTATTGCAAAATTTATTGATATAATATCATGTACTGTATTATATCAAATTTTTATTTCTAATTGATGTAGATTTGGGTATGAGCCTTTGAAGGCTTAAGTATTAAGAAAAATTAAAATTGAATTGAGTGTCCTCTTTTATTTTGTTTATTATAATTTAATTTTACTTCAGTACTTGAATAAAAAGAAAACCCCATTTTTATTGATTATGTTAATATTAAAGAAATGTTTGATTTATTTTAACGATAAACATTTATTTGAAGTTTGACGGAAACACTGTAACCAGAATTCCATCCATTACCAATTGTGTAATAAAAACAAAATCAGACTTGACAGGACCAAGGGAGTAACGATAATTGATTGCACATCATGTTCTAATGGTTTTCAATATTTAGATGGATGTGCTGTCAAATGTTGCCCACCCCTAGCTATTTCTGAACTTTAGGCATTTATTGAAAGAAGGATAAATTGTCTTAATACCTTTCCCATTATATAGAGATATACTCTCTGTAGAGCTTCTTGTAAAGCAAAGACAAAAATTCAACCGGCTGAAAGAAAAAATATGATATACGTTTGTAAACATGATTTTTCCAAGACATGGAACGCTTATTTGACGAAAATTAATTTAATGAGTTACTGATTTTTGAATATTTAAAATTGGGTGGGAAAAGGGTGGTTATGCCCGCATCCAAGTATCTGTATTTAAACAGCTTCCAAGTTTTTTGTCAAGTAAGTTTTTTGTGTCTTAGAAAAATTAATTTTACAACATATCAAATCTCTTTTTTTCATCCGGAGACTGACTTTAATATTTGTTTGAAACCATTTGTAATATGTATGTTTTTTGCTTTTCAATAAAAAATTTAAAGAAAACATTTCCTTGTCAATAATTAGACACATAAATAACCGTGTTCTTTTATTAACTTCAACACATGCACCCTTATTAAATTGGCTGGTATTCAATTGGATAATTTAAAGTAAAACTCTGTAAACCACGATCCAACATTAACAACATAGTTTGTGAAATCATAAATTTCAATTTTCATTCACGTATTTGTTGTCAAGGACTTAAGTGTTCTTTACTAAACAAAAAGTCTGTAACAAAAACAGATCATTCGTTCTTGAACACATTTATATGTTTTCGCAAACTAACACAAACTACATTGATTGTGTTAGTTTGTGTGTCGAGAGCAGCACATTATTGAAAACAGAATTTTTTCAATCTGTCATTGAAAGTATGGTGGATAACTATCGTCAATTAATGAGCATTTATTTCTTACTCCATTTTTTCATTTGGGTTTTTTTTTTGCAAGATTTCTCTTTTTGCATTATTATAATTAATACAATGTTATAATGTTTTGATACATACGGTATAGATACTGAAATTGATAAACCAGATAGTTTGGAGCTCTTTGGTAGCTCAATAAAATAGAACTATTGCGATGAAAAATGTACTTAAATTATATCGCTCTGATGTTTTAAACCAGTTTTATTGTTTGTGAGCTTGTACTTTTGTTAGCCTTTAGAGTAGTAAATATTTATTGATGTTTCTCCTCTATTTTTTTTTTTTGTTATTGAATATTGTTATCGTAAAGTGTCCTACAAGTGTTTGATCCAGTGGTGACCATGATGGTAATTTATATCTATAGCGCTATTTAATAAAGATCAGCGCGCTCAAAGCGCGGACTACATTCTCATACGGTAAATTTCTTCCCACCTATTAGGGTCTCGTCATGTCTGAACTGGCCAGTAAATCGGTACAAGCTACTCTCATCTGTACACAACAAAGTTTACGGATCAGTATACTGGGGTAACCCCCTACTTGTCTTGTAATTGTGTACACCAACAGTGTATAGTCCTTATCGGAGAAAACTTGTTCCACCTCCAATACCATAGGTATATTTCGATTCGATTTAATAAATATTTTCTGTAATAATTTCAAATGTGTGTTTAGTTGCTATATAGTGTCAGCTTAGTATCGATGTTATCGAGTTTTGTATTTTTAATATCAACTCATCAGTTACAGAAAACGCATAACATATGTCTAGCATGACCTCTTTAGGTTCCCGCATGGTTCTTTTGATTTAGTACAAGTGTATTTGCCATCTACACGCAATACCCTGTGAAATGTCAACAAAATGCTCATCACTCGGCCTGACTTCGTTAAGACGTGAATGCAGCACAGAGATCTTGTTACCGTTTGTTGGTATCTACTGCAGTCTGTGCGATATCATGGAATCAATATTTCTCTTCAATTCATCAATACCTAATAAATGAACCAGAACACGGTAACTATCGCTTTTCTCAGCAAATTTGCAATCAGCTAACATTTGATCTGTTTTCAATGTACGCGTATAATTACACCGTTCATAGAGTAAATATTTAGTTGATTGATCTATTAGCTTGTACCCTAGATGGTGATCAGCCAATCACGGCGTGTGTTATAAAATTATGTTTATATGAAGTGTTTACCTCGATGAGATTAATTATCATGCAGCTACAAAGCTGAAGTCACTGAGAATCATATTACATGGAAGGCGGCCCTCTGCCGTTCTTTTGTTTCAGATTTTTTTGAAATGGAAAAATCAATTTTAAAGTTAATTATTTTTCAATAGAATATTTAAGTTGTGAAAATGAAGATTATTTTACAATTGAGAAATTTTTTATTAATTTTTTTAGGCCCTTTTTCAATTCTTTTTTTTTTATTCCAGAATGCTGAATTGCATGACATTTATATAGCATATAATAATGAAATTTACTTTTTTAAAATGTTATACAAAAATGTGCTAAAATGAATAATTCAGACTTACAACTGTTACTTACTTCATCATATTTGCCCGCATGACAAATTTTTATGGTTTGAGACACACTTTAGAAAAAAGTCTTCAAAGTAGATGTAACATTTTTCAGATTTTTAAATAATTATAGATTTTCTTTTCATCACATTCTTAACACTCTACTCATTATCGCTAATTATGTACTAGCAAACCCACTTGCGAGAATTGTAGGCCTCGTTCAGACATGAAATCTAATCATCTGTAGGGATAATTGGTAATGGAGGTAAGTAGTAAATCGAGGCATGTTAAAAAGACCATTACAAAGTGGGGCGAAGCCGGGATGCTGTAAAAGCAATCATATCTTACCCCACTCGAGACCGTTGCTTTCACGAGCAGCGCCAACTGTAAACACAGACCGCCTTCATGCATGATTAATCAGGCAATTATCATAAATGCATTGTATGACTATCACAGAGTACTTGAATTTGATAGCATCACCCTTTTCTAATGTATTTCTTTAGGCCTATTTTCTCACTTTTTTTCTTTTGCATACAACGGTATGATAAATCAAATTTATTTTATCAGTTATACTAAAATATAGAAGTGGCATCCCTATTCCAAGAATGGAGGATTCTACACCACATGAAATACAGCATTGTGGGAAGACATGCATACATTAATGCAAAGTGAGACTTCAGAGAACAAATCGTAAAAGTGTTAGCTTAAATCGCAATTTAACTGAAACAAAACAGGATTTTAAGAATTTTACAATCAATATGATATGCTGTCAGTTGAAAATTATTTGCTTTTAAATGGATGGAATAATTATCTAATTTTCAATTAAACAAATTATACAGTTATTTATATTTTTACTACAAAAATCTTTAAGTTACCATTACTAGCAAAAGTAAGGGTCTGTGCAACAGTAGCCTAAGCACCTGTTCTTTATAGAGGAAAATTTTAATTTTCTATTAAAACCCAATGACTTAAATATTCAATTTTCTATAACTTCTATATTTCTAAAAATATCCAGATTTTGAGCTTCTGTTGGCAAATATGTTTCAATATTCAAACCAACTTACAATTGACAAGTCGATCTGTTGTATGCAGATTGAAAGAGGTAGGATTAATTGTACAAGTTTCCGTAAATGTTGGTTAAATATCAATCATGTTAACTACTGTATTTAATAGTCATATGGTACTAGGGAAAAAGTAAAATATATTGTATGTGGGTGTATAAGAATGTATTTTGTGCTGGTTTTGAGTAGTCAGTGATGTTATATGCTGGTAGGAATGGGTTTTAATTTCTGACTACTACTTTACTTATGCTTTGGTTCACCATATTATGTTATGGTGAGGTAAAATTTGCTAAATCTGTAACAAGTCCTGGGTTTGAGTCATGGTGGAGGAGGTTGTCTTTTTTTTTTCGTCTTGGTCAGATGTTGGGGAGGGACTAGTGTTGTCCTGAAAGCTCTGGTTCCATTTCTAGCTGTTAACATATACAGTACATTTACATTTTAGCTTTTGCTTACAAATATTGTGTCTATTGTTTCTCATAGCATTATGTTTTTTAGTACATTTTTCCTTTTAATTTATATATTAAAAATATATCACTGTCCAAGATTTCTTTATTTAATATATTCTTATTTCTCTTCTTAAATATATTTGTTTATAAAGAAAAAATGGAAATGAAACAATAATATTAGAAAATAAAAGTATACGAAAGGCAAACTCATTCCGAAGAAAAAGTTAAAGGAAAAGATTGTTAAATATATTTCAAAGGAAAGGACAATCATGAATGGAGTCATGAGTCGAGGAACCCTAAATGAAGTTTCAAAGTGCTGATAAACAGCAGTAAAGGCCTGTTTATACTTGCAATGATAACAATAACGATAAAAAGCAATTGTTCATATAGAAAATAAAAGAAATAAGAGAATTTTTTACACTAGGACGTTTCGATAACATTTTATCGTGTATACAATAACAAAATATATTTACAAGTCAGTTCAAATGACATCATAATCATGGAAAAACAATTGCTTTATAGCTTTTTATCGTTATCATTACAAGTATAAACAGGCCCTTATACTGGTTCCTCTGCTTTGGGTTAGCTTGTAATTGGTAGTTATATCTCTAAAGAAAATGATACATTTCTGTCGAATAATATTTAATATTATCTACAATAAATAAGTAAAAATAAGTATGTATGTATAATGTACTCATGAATTTTGTACAAACATACATGTAGAAGAATCAACCATTATTTGATTATTTATATAACATTCCAAGATTTATTTTAGGAAAAAATTATATGCATCACAGCAAAAACTAAAATTGTAGCCCTACTTCTGATTAACTGTTATTTCATATTGGAAACTAAAACATTTTTTTCAGTCCGTTTGGATGAGCAATAGAATTATTTAAGCGAATTTTAAAGTAATTTAGGCCTAGTTCAGACTAGGTGGATAAACCTGAACTAGGTGGCTTATCTCAAGCTGGGCTTTGTTCCTATAGTAACTTAGTAACTAGGCCTGGCGTGCCACTATGTTTAAGCCGGGCTTTAATCGTTGCGGGGAGGGGGGATGGGGGTCTTGCATTGACTTCAGGTAACAAAATGACCAATCAGCATTCAATTACTTACCGCTGTGAGTGAGCGTACCTTTCACGAGCAATGTTTTGGAAACATGTTTGCTAGTTACTACGGTCCATTATTATGAAAATTCTCGCGCCTGGCTAATCCTGCTAGTCTGAACGCCTGCCAAAGTTAAGCTGGGCTTAACTCAAGCCTGGCTTAACTCAAGCCTGTCTTATCTCCAAGTCTGAACATTACACATTGCTCATTCATGATTTTACTGTACTTGGCATTCTGCCAAACTAATACTATTTGATAGACTCTGCTATTGTATGCTAATATTGGCTACCGCTGTTAACCTTGAATAGAGGTATATGAATTTTATGAATGTGGTTTTCCAAGACCAGCATTTATTTTTCCTGTTTTTCTACAATAAATGTTAACATTTTATGAGCTAAATTAGACTTTTTTTTTTTTTTCTTCATAATTTGATCTTTTAGCTCAAGCAATTTTTTTTTTAAAGCTGAGAAGGTTGGTATATTATAGAGATATATTAATCATTGAATCCCAATGTAATTATTTATATTCTTTTATATTATAGATTTAATCTTATGTTTTTAATTTAGAATGATAATAATATAGTAATTTAACTTACATTGTTACATACTGGCATTATTTTTTCAGTTTTTTTAGATTTTAACATTCACTTTTTTTTTTTTAATCATATAACCATTTCTATGGTAACTATAGGATTATTTTTATAACATGAATTTCATTTTGTTATGGCATTATTTACAATTAAAGTAATAATTATTAATTATAATAATGTTATTCAACATCATCTTCATAAATGCTTATATAAGTATAAAAAATTATTACTATTGTTTAATTACGATAAAATTGAAATTGATTGATCATGTGACAAGTGGGTTATCAACACATCAGTCTCACTGAAGAAGTGTCTTGCGATGGTGAGTCAACCAGGAAGTAAGTTGACTTTCTTCAAATACCTTATTTAAGTAAATCTAAAATAAAACTATAATTTTTTTTTTTAGTTGCTTAATCCAGCTACACGCTGCACTAACTCAATTCCATCTAGTACTCAATACAACGAGGGGTGCAGTGCATCGTTTTTGATGATCAGTTCGCTCAGATTGCCATCAACAATCAGTTTAATTTTCATATTTCAAAAACAAAAGCTAGAAAAAAAAAATGCATTTTCAGATTGCCATCAACAATCAGTTTAATTTTCATATTTCAAAAACAAAAGCTAGAAAAAAAAATGCATTTTATTTATAAATATAAGAATGTAAATTTATGCATAATGATGATCACCTTAAAGTCCTGTTTATACTCGGAAATATTTATATAACTGTAACAACTTAAATACTATGAATGTGCAATTTGCTGTCAAAGCATTTTGAAATGTTGGCAATTTGCCAAGATATTAAAAAGCCTCATTAATGAGCATTCCATTCGTATGAGTACTTCAGTAGTTTAGCATGTCAGCCGAGATCGCACCCTGGATCAGTTAATATGCATACACTTTAAACTTGCATATAATTAACATTTGAATAATACACGTTAGCATTGCAGTTAGTCACTTCATAGAAATGAGCTGATTACATGCGCATTTGGATTTTTCATTTTAAAATAAAATATAGATTACCAGCATAAATGCAGTTTATTTCAAAATGTTTAATACTAAGTCTGTTGTATTGCTATTTGTGTTGAGATAGAATATTGAAAAATATAATTCAGTATGTGAACTTCTGAAATAAAAAAACTAGAATTCAATTGAAAATTAAAGTTTGAAAACATTTTTCTCATCAATTGGCCAACAAATGCATAAATAAATATCATTTCTCTTTACATAGACCCTAAAGAGGCATCCCCATCAGAACTGGACTGTGTTTGCGAATCGCTGAATGCCAGATTCGATTTTCCAATCGGCTCGGTAGTGTGGGATAAAATATACCAATATATCTATAATTTTTAGAAAAAATTCCATTATTTGTGTTGTAGGAAATTGAAACTTACCGTATCTAAAATATTAAAAAAATTATCTTTTTTTTTTTGATAAATTTTATATATATTTTACAAAGTCTAATAGATTGATGGCAGAATTTATATATCAAATTTACTTTAGCTTAATTCTAAGGAATTACAAAAAGCTCATATTTACGATTACAGATAATGTAATATATGATACAATCATATAGTATAGCATTTTGATGCCTTCGTCTGTTAGAGCAGACGACCAGATGTAAAGTAGGCCTACTTTACTTTAGCAACATTAATGATTTTATTGGCATATTTTATTGCATGCTACAGTACTACCAAATTGTAATTGTTTTTCCATGACCGTGAAACAGTAACTCGCAACTAATACGATAGAATAATATGAGGCTTGGAGTTGATTTTAGTGAGACGAGACTTTCTTTATACTGTACCTTGTTTAGCGAACCTGCCGGCTGCAAATATTGATGATTTCGAATAAAAATTATTTTTGGCCAATTTGCGCACCAACTGCCACGAAAAAGTGGAAATTTCAGAAAAAAATAGATTTTATCTTTATTTTGATTACACCCTCGCTGACTTGAAATCTCCAAAGATAAGATATGGCAGTCCATTGACTAGACAGTTTAGCTAGCACATTATTACTGCTCATGTTTTTCTTTTTTATATTGTGTATATCTGTTAATAATTAACAGAAATTTGTAATTTTCTTAGAAATATTCCTAATAATTGAAACTTTCCATGAAATACTTTCCCTTTCCTTCCAGTTAGGTTGAATTTTTTACCTTGCACCTTTTTTTTTACTATCCCTTTATATCTATTTTCTTTTTAATATTGTTTCATCCTTTTTCTTATTTCATTTTTGATACTTACCTTTCTTTTAGTTTTTTCATTGTCATTTTCTTTCCACCATTTTACTTCTTTCTTTTTTTTTCTTTCCTTCATTTTGTCATTTCTTATTTATTATTTTTCATGTTCTTTTTTTCAATTTTTAAAAATCTCTTCTCTTTTTCTTTCATGTCTTCTTTCTTGCATAATAATCCATGGGGACAGTGTAGGTGTGGGCGGGTGTGTGTTTGTTAGGAAATATAAAGAATAAAATATTGCGCAGCACTTGGGCAATTCCGCATTGGAAGGCCAAAACCACCAAAAATTTAATCCACTTGTATCTAAACTTGGGTTTCATTTTCAGAGCTGAAACATATGTAGAATTTGGTTCAAAGTGAAATTTTAGTCTTATTAATTCATATTCTTCAAAAACCACTGGTATATTTGAGCATATGATTCAGAATTTAAAAACAAAAAAAAAAAGGCTAATTTTAAAAATAATCCCCAATTATGCTTAACTTAACCCTTCCTGACTTTAATTATTCTGAATATTTGACTTAATGGTCCCTAGAACCCAAATGTTGAGATAGACTCGGACATGGCATCTTACAATTTTCACAGCAAGTTGTCAGATATTGGGTAATATCACACCATAATTCCGTTACCAAAAAAATGATTATTGTTTTTCTGAGAGCAAACCAATGTTCATAAACTCAAGTTACTTTATATTCTCTTACTAGTCATACACCTTTACCATTATTGCTCAACAGTTTTCTTTGATCTTCGATAGTTTTGTAGAAAACCTGGTAACGGAATTACATGGTAACGGAATTACATTCGGTCATAGGAATACGGTTAATAGAACTTAATTCACTATTACTAAATATACTGCCCATATTCCTCCATAACATTGATTCAGATTGATACTTATGTCCAGTGGAGCCTATTAAAATGACAAGGTGGCAGCAAATGACCTTAGCAACGGCCCTAGTAACCGTGAAGATAGTGATAAGCTGAATTTAGTGATAATGTTGATGATTGTGATGATGCAGATGTCAGTGATGATGCTAGTGATTGTGATGAAGTTGAAGAAAGTAATCAAGCTCATGATGGTACAAGTAATGTTAGGCCTACAGTCAAAAGTGATAATAAATTGTCTATATATCCGACCTGAAGTAGGTGGTTGTTAAGTATTTTTGCCAGAAGAATGCCAACAAATTTGTTGGTCAGGTTATTGAAAGTCACAATGACAAGTTTATCCTAAAGTTTGTTAGAATAATTGAATTTTGTTAATTTGTTTGGCCAATTGACAACATTCATAGATTGTAAATAGATCTTGCATAGTACCGAGCTATTTGAACCATAGATGGATAGGCATTCTAGAATAGTCTTTTCCGATTATTGTGAGTACAGTAAGTGCGGGTGCAACAGCTAATATTTATGCCTACTGTAGTGTAGTTAAATTAGCTTAGAATCATACAATTTAGTTTTATAAATTACAGTACACTAAATACTATCAATAAATTGTTTTTGGATAGTTTGATATTTTATTCCACCTCCATGTTCTATCGGACATGTAACTCCATTATTGTGTCGTGTAATTCCGTTTCCAAACAAAACCATACAAATACAGTTAACCATAGATATATGAGCAGCGAACTTTCTTAACAATTTAGCCACATCTTATGTCCAGACTATGATACCAGTCATTGATGTTAGTTGGTTATAATATTCAGACAGAACTTTGTGTTACTTGAAAAAAATTGAAATTGATCATTTCTATGTAATTCTGTTACCAAAATAAAACTTGCAACAGCCAATACTGCCTAAGCCTACTGTACTTGGTTAAAGTAGCTTAAAATCACATGATGCACTTCTACAAGTACACTAAAGATTATTTCCAATTCTTTTTTCAAAGGTTAAATATTTTATTCTAATCAGTAATCGGACATGTAATTCCGTTACCGTGTCACGTAATTCTGTTACCAAACAAAACCAATCAAATACAAATAAACCATAAATATTTGAGCAGCAAACTTTCATGAACAATTTAGCCACACCTTATGTCCAGACTGTGATACCAGTCACTAATGTTAATTGGTTATAATATTCAGATGGAATCTTATGTTCCGTGATCAAAATTAAAATTGAAAATTTCTGTGTAATTCTGTTACCGAAATAGAATTGGTCAAAAATTTCAAAATATTGTTAGTTTTTTTTTTTCCAAGATATTGTACCACTGTTTGATATTGGTAGATGTATGTGTTACTTACATCTATAACAGTTACTATCCAACGCATGCCCTAATTTTCTGGGTTTGTCAAAATAAGTCAAAAAATGTTGTGATTTGTAATTCCGTTACCGTGGAATTGCCCACTTATTATCTTGGGGGATGCGAAAAGGATGGGGAAATATGTGCTACTAAAAAAATTACTTGTGCTACCAAATTTTTTTGGGGGGTGCCAGAAAAGTTTGGCAGTGCTACCAAGAAAAAAAAAGTTAATTTCAAGCCCTGCCTAATCCAGGTGTTTCAGGAACTTATCTTAAAGCTGTTTGTTAGGAATATCTGATTGTTGTATACATTATAAAGATTTATAAATATAATACGAAGTTGCTAGTTCAATTGAATTTAGACATTCTAAACATGACAAAAATGTAAAATAAGACTGAAATGTGATTTTTTTTTTGTGTTCCACACAAAAATATAAAAGCGGATACATTTTTTATGTTTGATTTTGCGATAGGTCTGCGAAGAAAGGTAGTAATCACTGGTAACATTAACCTATCAACACTGCTAGGGTAGGCTTGGCCTTACCTCGATTTAGGTTCTTTTGTTATCAGACATAAAAACGGCTGACATGATATTTTTAACGTTACTGGTATTGACACTTGTGAAATCAAGTATTTCATTGGAATTTCAAATTTATTAAAAAATTGATTTTGACTGAGATTTTGACAAACAAACATATCTCAGGCCTACTTGATCGACTGTAGTGTGTGACATTCGAAGTACAAAAACTAATCTCATTAGAGAGGGCGCACTTTATTGACTGTATAAAAGTATACACAAATGCATGAGCATTCCAGCGAATGCGATCTACAGCCTTTGAATTTGCCTAGTAACAAAGAAGTTGTCGAAA